ATAGAGGAACCAGAGTGGCCATGAGTTGATAATTACTAAAACTAGATGAAAGATACTTGGGTGTTCATTATGTGATTTTTCTTTTGTATAAGTTTAAATTCTGTCATAATAAAGTTAAAAATTTTATTTAAAACTAGAGTATAACTGACATAAATCAACATTTCCCTTCACTCATTTTTAGAATGCTATACATCTCAGGATATTTAGCATAGTTTACAAGCAATACTCTCTTCTTTTGTGTATATGTATACATATGTATAAATTTATAAGCTATGATACTTAGAAGACAGTGTTTTTGCTGGCATCAATTAAAGTTCATTCAACAAAGTTTTACGGGATGCCTACTATAAAGCAGTATTGTGCTTTTTGAAAAGTACTTTTTTAAAAGGCCTGAATTTTACAGTATTGAAATTATTTAAAAGTTTATCTTAATTTTTTAAATTATATTGGGATGACACTGGTTAATAAAATTATGTTTCAAGTGTACAATTTAAAAATACATCATATGTATATTTCATTGTGTTGACCACCCAAAGTCAAATTTCCTTTCGTCACCGTATATTTGATCTCCTTTACCCTTATCTACCTCTCCCATCTTTTTTAAGCATGATAAATGACTAGGTTTTCTGTTAATTTGATGGTTAACTTTAGTGAAGTACATATCTAAGCTTCATTACCTGAGTTAGTCTTCAAACAGGAAGGAAAGGGGTGAGGGATGGTGCTCCAGGTAATTCTTCTGTTTTGTCAATGCTTTAATTTCTTCCTTATTACAGAGCTAGGGCAGACAGGGCCCAAGAAAGTATGGGTTTATTTTGGCTAATAACCCAGGATTTTCTACCTAATTTATTTATAATCCAATGCCTAATATGGGTAATCTCAAATCTGGGAAAATAAAAAGACATAAAAACAAGATCAAAATCTGAAAGCAATTGAAATAACATAGTACACATACCTGCCCCACAAATACAAACCACCACCATACTCATCAGATGTGCCCCACAATATCACCAAGTTTCCATTCAAGTGTGAGCAGATTCCTACTTATTATTAGATAAAATTTGTGAATTGACTGATAACAATCTTCAGGCATTTTGAAGAACCACAATGTGCAATTCCAGATTTTTAATTTCTGCAAAATATTTTATTTTGATTTGTCTATACCAGAAAATAACCATGATTTTAAATTGTTTCTTACAGGGGGAGATGAAATTATATTTGGTAAAATAGACTGGTGCTTTAGAAATTTAAGGAAATGACCCAGATTTCAAGGGAATTCAATGTTTTGTCTTTCCCAAGTTCCACCAAGCTACCATTATGTGCCATGCTATGTGAGTGCTAAGAAAAGCATATTAAGAGCTTTTTTCTGTTATAGTCCCCTTCAGAGTAAGTTTTCTTTAAACACACATCACAAAATATTTTCTTTAAACACACATCACAAAATATTCTTCCTATGAATAACAACTATCAATTAAATGTTTACTGTGTGTCAGGTACTCTGCTAAATGTAATACATTGTTTCATTTAATCCCTTTAACCAATTAAACAGAAATGGTATACGCCTCCATTTACCAAGGAAGAAACTAAGGCTGAGAGTAGTTAGATAAATTGTGCAAGATGAAACTAGTAAGTGGTTGATCCAGGATTCAAACCTGGGCTTGTATGCCCATTATCAACTATACCACACTGCTTCTCAACATGTATGGATTCAATAATATCTACCATTTATTGAGTTCTTATAAAATATTTAGTGATGTGTGAAATAGTTTACATTATTTCATTCGAACCCCTTAAAATTCTGTGACTCTTCATTTCACCAGGAGGGCATTCACTATGAGAAATTTCGAGAAACTCGCTAAAAAGTCACATAGTGGAAGAGCCAGGATTTGAACACAGATAGGACTCCAAAGCTCATGCTGTTTTAAGCTGGTATATATACCCCTAAATTAGCCTCCCATACACCCGTTCATTCCTATATTTCTAACCTGCAGACACAGAATTTGATGCATACTTCAGCTATGGTTATTTGAGACTATGATCTCTGATTGTCATACATTTTAACATTAACTTTATTAGTTTATAGTTTAGTATGCTGTATTGATTCATACTAAGTTTTAACTTAGTTCAATACCCCAGTCTTCCATTTAATTTGTAACTAAATCTGGTTTCTAAATCAGGTTGCCCTAGCTCTACTCTTAGCTGATTTTTGAAACTGTATATTTAATATTCCATTAAATTTATTATGCTGAAATATACATGAAATTCACCATTTTAAACTTTTAGCTGTATAATTCCGTGGCATTAAGTACATTCACAGTTTTGTAAGCATCATCACTATTCATTAATAGAATGTTCTGCTACGTTTAAACCTCAGATGTAAAATTTCAACCTCAAATGATGGTATGTGCAAGATTCCAAGTTGCATTGGCTAGACATTAGGAGTTCCACCACCAAAGTTTTTTAACAAAACATTTTTTGTGTTTTCACTGATGAAACAAATGTGTTTGTATTAATGATGAAACTGTTAAATAGAACCTTGAAACACTCTACCAAAAACCTCCTTCCAGGTCAACATGAATAATTAATAAAACACTCTTTAAGTGTCAAATACCTTGTACAAAACATTCTAGGTCTGTGCCTTTCCCTTGGTTCATAAAGCAACATTTTTCTAGACTAGTAATTCTCAATATACATATACTAATAACCACTTTTTGGCTTCCAAAGATTTATTCATTTTTCTATGATTCTTAATGAATCCATGCTGGCTACTTAAAGTATATCTTTTTTCCTAAATGTTTATAATACATTTTAGAACAACTCTGGACATTTAACTTTTAAGTCTAAGCATCAAAAGTTTTATATATATATATATATA